ACAAACAACCGCAGGAGAACCGGAAAATCCTTCAGACAAATCTCCCTCCGACACACACACTCTGAATCTGTCACTTGTGTCTTCCTCTCTGCTCTGAAGTGAGCGAGAAATGGAAATGTTTGTCCCGAGGAAGATGCGGTACGAGAACTACACTGTTTGGATAGTACGTCTGGCAGCGACCCGTATAAGCCGTTAAGAACACTGCATAAATAAAGTGTTGCAAAATTATACAGTGAACTTGGAAAAAAGAACTTTGCGTGTGTATGAAAATTATTTTTAAAGTGTAGCAAATTAGTTTAAATTATAGAAATAAATTTAAATCATGGTAATTGTTAAATCTATGAATACACTTTTAAAGACCTCATTTTTTAATATTTTACGGAAATGTACTTAAAATATAGATTAAATATAGATCGATCACGGGAAAACTATATATTTTTTCCAAATATTATCCTTATTCTTGTTCCATTTACAAATCTATTCATCAATATCATTATCATTAAGATTTTTAAGGGTATTGCAATTTCAATAATTATCAAATAGTTTTCAATACCTGTCGCCCTCTTGAAGGTTTCAGAAAATCAATATCTCTAAATATATGTTGTGACTGACCTTGCCAAATATTTTGACCGCATGACATCTTTTTTATATTTCTTCTTCTTTTTCTTTATATTTTTGTTATTTCTTCTTCATCGTCTTTTTTGTTATTTCTTTCATCTTCTTCATCTTCGTCATCTTCATTATCTTTTTGTATTTCTTCTTCTTAAATTTCTTGTTATTTCCTCTTCTTAATTATCTTTTTGTTATTTCTTCTTCTTCATCATCTTTTTGTTTCTTCTTCATCATCTTTTGTTATTTCTTCTTCATCTCATCATCTCTTTTTGTATTTCTTCTTCTCTACTTATTTTTTTTGTTATTCTCTTCTTCATCTTCGTCATCATCTTTTTGTTATTTCTTCTTCTTTCATCATTTGTTATCTTCTTCATCTTCATCATGTGTTTGTTATTTCTTTTCTTCTTAATTATCTTTTTGTTATTCTTCTTCTTCATCATATTTTTTGTTATTTCTTCATCTTTTCATCATCATTTTTTTTTTTACTTCTTCTTTATCTTCATTATCTTTTTGTTATTTCTCCTTCTTCTACTTCATCTTTTTGTTATTTCTCCTTCTTCTTCATCTTCATCATCCCTTTGTTATTGTTGCTGTCGTTTATATACGACAAAAACCGAATTCTCTAAAGCCATGCTACACGGGCTGTTCGAGACATGCTGAGGGCGCCCTCGGCTGAAGGAGCTGGAGAGAAGGTCAAGTCGCGGAGGAACTTGGATTGGGGCGCCACCAACTGGGTTCTCGGGGGGGGGGGACGTGTTCATAGATAGATAGATAGATAGATAGATATACACGCACGCACACACACACACACACACATATATACATCCATATACACGCAGATAAATATGTATACATACACCTATACCTAACCATTAGGCATATTGGGCAAGCCACACCGATCGTCAACACACGAGAGTATCCTGAAGGAGAAGGAGACCCCCGCCCCCCGCCGCCCCGCCCGCCGCCCGAGAACGCCCACGAAAGCCCCGAAGACACCCAGGACCGGTGTGGAGGCTTCGGGCGGGGCGGTGGAGCGTGAAGGGGGGGGGGTGGGGTGGAGGGGGTAGCAGAGAAGGTGGAGGGAAGGGGAGATGGGAGGGTGGGAAGAGGGGGTGTGTTGGAGGTGAGGGAGGGGGTTGGAGGGATGGGGGGAGGGAGGGAGGGTGGAGAGGTGGGATGTGGAGAGAGGTGGGAGACGGAGGGTGGAGGAAGGGAGAGGGAAGGGGAGATGGGAGGGTGGAAGAGGGGGTGTGTTGGAAGTGGAGGGAGGGGGGTTGGGAGAAGGGGGGGGGGGGAGAGGAGGGTAGAGGGGTGGGATGTGGAGAGAGGTGGAGACGTATAGTAGAGGAAAGTGGAGGGGAAGTGAAGAGTAGAAATGGGAATGTGGAGTGGGGACTGAAGAAAGAGGGGCTAGAAGTGGAAGGAGGAAGAACGTGGAAGCGGAAGAGGATGGTGGGTGGAGGGGAGGAGGGGAGGAGGAGGGGGGGAGGAGGAGAGGAGGGAGGAGGGAGAGGAGGGAGGAGGGAAGGAGGAGGAGGGAGGAGGGAGGAGGGAGGAGGGAGGAGGAGGAGGGAGGAGGAGGAGGGAGGAGGAGGAGGGAGGATGGGGGGAGGAGGGGGAGAGGGAGGAAGGAGGAGGAGGGAGGAGGGAGGAGGGAGGAGGTGGAGCGTGCCAAGATAGAGGAAGAGGAAGATTTCGGGGTGAAACGGACGGAGGAGGAATGAAGAGAGAGGAAAATGTAAGAGAAAAAAACGGACCGGGGAGATATAGATAGAGAGATGGAAGAATGCCTAAAAGAAATTAACGGAGAAAGATGAAGACGAAGGACAAACCTATGGAAAAAAAACGAAACAGAGGAAGATGGAGTGAGAGGAAAGAAACAAAGGAATAAGGCTTAAAACAGACGAAGGCGCAGAAGCCAAATACCGGACTAAGTAAAACGACCCCCATCGAGGGCCCCGCTAACGCCTCACGCCCTCACGCCCTCACGCCCTCACGCCAGCCCTAAGGGACCGCCGAGAGGAGGAAGGGCGGCAGACGTCGACCTCCACCGGGCCCTAAGGTGCATTACTGTTCTTCGCGTGTTTAAGGTCACGCTGCCTGGACCGGGGAGCTGGGACTCACTCTGAGCTTTGGTCACGCTTTACGCAACCAATTAATGACACCTGTTACGCTAAACGTCGAGGGGGAGATGTGCGAACACCTGAGCAAATAGTGGGGCGTGATTGGACTCGAAAGAATGACTGTGTTGCGAGCGATCCAGTCCAGAAATTGCGTTACAGATGGTGTGGAATTCATGTTGAACAGATTGCAACAGGAACGACGAAGGGAAGGGCAAGAAAACACACGAATATGCCGAAGGCCTTTTCACTATTGCTGCGTCAGGGCATATGCAATAGTGAAAAGGCATTCGGCATATTCGTGTATTTTCTTGCCCTTCCCTTCGTCGTTACAGATGGTCTAAAGTGATGGAAACGTAGTAGTAGATAGAGATAAAGAAACCTGTCCTCGCCTAGAAGATAGATAGATAGAATTAGAGAGGGATGGGACATTCGAAGGAAACTGAAGACCAAAAATGGTAATTATCATGATTAGAGATTGATATACGGAACGCAAGGAATTCATTAAAAAAAAAAAAAAAAAATCCACGATAGGTAAGACGTAAATGAAACACGCAGACTCATAAGATTTATCTCTGGAAAACATTTCGTAATAAATAAATACATGGAAGATAGAACACAGGTAAACAGGTAAAATGGATAAACAAGAAATAACAGCAGTCAGTCCACACGGAACTTTCAGACATAATTGCCCAAAATATCCTGGTAATAATAATCCAAATTGCCCAGTTCCTTCCTACAACCGAAATGGCCCACAACCGAACAACCTGTCCACTTTTATAGCTCTTTCCAGTTATTATTTCCTTCCCATCATCTCTTGGAATAACACCGAAATTCTTCCACGATCCTCAACTCCAGAACAGGAGCACAGAGGAGGAGACTCGTGATATAGGTACTGGTAGCGTCACCCGCGAAGAAAAGACCGTTACCCAAAATACAGGTGGCTGGCTGTAATGAGTTTTCGGTCACGCTCGCAGATCGAGGAGTACGCATTTCGGAGATGGTTTGTGCGACTCACGGATGCTCCAGCTGGTGGGCGTGGCCGGAGGGAGGCGGGAGGCCTGTGACATGGGGCGTCTGTCTGTTATAGATATGATCGGGGGGAGTTAACGTTGTTTAGTATTGATAGCAGTTAATCATGCAGAGATATGTTATTGGATAAGGGTAAATGACACAAGGGTATGGTGTATTCGAGGATATATGATATAATAAATCGATGTAGTGATTGAATAATACGGTGTATAGATTAGGCGGCATCCTAAAGGACCTGTTGACTATAATATAATATAAAATAATCGACACATTTCTAGTCAGAATCACATACGGATGCATCTTTAATGCTACAGTGTAAATTATCAGTTTTAACAAAATGTCTACAAAATAGTAACTAACAACAAAGTAAGATCATAAAATAGGGGAAGTGGTACCATAAATAACACAACACACGAACGGTAGATATTATAAAGCCATAAAACAAAAGGAAGGGAATCCAATGCCTTTATGCCTGTAGTCCCCCTTTTTTCAAATCTGTTCCTGTGTGTTTCGTTGTATTCTGGAACTTATTCAAAGGCTTGTTTGGGATCCTGTTCATAATCTTAAGTCTTTTATTGGCGATTCCGATGCATTTTGCTTTGAGAAATGAGAAGCATCTGGCAATAAGTCTGAGATTTATTTCGCTATTTCAGATACATCGCAATATATGACTGATATATGAGATTATATTTTTGCAATGTGAAATTAATATAGAGAGTTTAAATCTATTTTACAAGCTGGGATATAATTTGGTTGCGGGTATATGATGATTTTTGTTATCATCATTAGTATTGTGATTAATACTATTATAGTCATTATCATTATCATCACTAGTATTGGTGAATAAATAATTATTGCTATTATAATGGCCATATGAATGTAAGTATGAACTGGCGTATCTGCAATGTGCATTATTCTTACCATCTGTATCTTCTTCCTTCATTATTAGCTTTTTCATATATCATCCTTATATATAAATCTTGGTTATCTTACAACTTTTGCTTGCATGGACATTAATACACAGTGTGGAAGTTTACTTTTATTTAGAACGTACAACACCATTCACGTCATGCTCACTTGTTCCCTTTTCCCCATCCCTTCCCTCCCCCCCCTCCCCATGTAACCCATCTCCCTCCCCCTTTCGTCCCCCATCCCCCTTCCCCTCCCTCTTTTCGTCCCCCTCCCCCCCTCCCAGATCCCCCCACCCCCTAGGGCGCCCCGCCGGCCCTCGCCCGCAGGACCCGCGTGAAGTTGGTGTCCCTCATGGGGCTGTGTCTTCGGCTGAGCTCCGCGCACTCTGGGAAGAGGCTGGCGCAGTCGGCCCCCTCCTTCCGCCCCGCCTCCGCCGCCCTCAGCGCCTGCTTGTATCTCTCGGGGTCGTAATCGCTGAAGGACTTGCTCAGGACCTGGCTGAGCAGGGACGCCACCAGGCCTCCCGCGGCCTCGTCCACGCGGCTGCCCTGCGACGCCTCCTGCAGGAGGGCGCGGTTCGCCTCGCACATGGCGCGCTCCAGGCAGGGGGCCCTCCTCCAGGCCGTCGTTCACGTCCACCAGGCTTTGCTGCGGGCGGGGGGGGGGGGGGGGGGGGGGAAGAAGGCTCTCTTGGGCTTATATGATACAGATACATAAATAGTATTGTATAAACAGGATACAGTAATAAATAGTATTGGATAAACATGCAATTTTACTCCAAAAAAACACGTAAAACTCCCTCCGTCTTTCCGGTTCCCCCGCGGGAGAGACGCGGCCGGGCCCAGGGCCTCCCGACTCACCACGAGCGGCAGGACGACCGCCGGCATCGCCTGCAGGAGGCGCGGAGGCCCCCGACGGCGCTCCCGAAGGAACTCAGCAGAAAGCCGAAGACGCCGTCGTCCGCTGACCTCCTCCGGCGCGTGGATGTGATGTCGTCTATGATGTCCTGGGGGGAGAGAGAGGGGGGTAGGGGGTCATGGGTGTGGTGTGGTGTGGAGTTATTTCATATTTCTTCCTTGTCTTATTTACTTTCTTCTTTATTTTCATATATCTTTATTTCTATTCATTTTTATTTACTTTTATTTTAATCTTTATCTTTTTATTCTATTTCTTTCGTCACTACATTCAACTAACTACACACACCAACCAAACACACACACAAAACACACACACAAAAACTGAAACATCGTCCCTTCCTTCCCATCCCATTCCTCCCATTCCCTCTATTTCCCGCAATTATTCCCTCTCCTTCATCCCCCCTCCTTCGTCAGCCAGAAGACCGAGGACGACCTTACCCTCAGCAGCTCAATCAGACCAAGGAGACCAATGAGACCGAGCGCCGAGTTGCAGTCGATGGAGCTCTCGTACCTGAGGGGGAGACGAAAGGTGAGCTGTGAGGGGGGGTGGGGGTGCGGAGGACAGGTGAGCTGGAGGGGGTGTGTGGTGTGTGTGGGGGGGACTGGTGAGCTGGAGGGAGGAAGAGGGAAGACAGGTGAGCTGGAGAGGGAGGGGGGGTGAGCTGGAGGGTGAGGGGGGGGGAGGTGAGCTGGAGGGGGGGGGGGGGCAGGTGAGCTGGAGAGGGATGTGAGGAGGACAGGTGAGCTGGAGGGTGGGGGTGGGGGAGGACAGGTGAGCGGGAGGGGGGGGCAGGAGAGCTGGAGGGGGGGGGCAGGTGAGCTGGGGGAGGGAGGGGGGAAGAAGAGGAGGAGGAGAAAGAGCAGGAAGAAGAAGAGGAGGAAGAGGAGGAGGAGGAAGAAGAGAAGAAGAGAGGAAGAGGGAGAGGAAAAGGAGGAGGAGGAGGAGAAGGAAGAGGAGGGAGATGAAAAGGGAGAGGGGGGAGAAGGAGAAGTGGAAGAGGAGAGGGACAGTGGAAAGGGATTGCGGAGGAGGGAAAAGGAGGAGAAGGAAGAAGAAAAAGGAGAAGGAGAAGAAAAAGAAGAGAAGGAGGACGAAGAGGAGGTAGAAAAAAAGAAGAGGACACGGAAAAAGAATAGAGAAACAGATAAAGAGAAAAAGGAAGCAAAAAAAAAAAAAAAACAAAAAAAAAAAAAAAAAAAAAAAAAAAATGCTATGAGAATAATCAATCATTATTACAACATGTTTTAATTGATACTCATTAACTATCCTGCCTATCTATCAATCCATCTATCCAGCCATAAGACAATCTACCACCTTTTTTATATTTATCAATCTATCATCTCTTGTTTCAAGAAAACGTCCATTCACCAATGTGTCTATCAATCATTAATTATATCTATCTATTTATCTGTCTACATATCCACTCATCCATCCACCTATCTATCTAACAATCCATCTATCTGTTAATCCACCTATCTATCTATCTATCTATCAATCTATCTTTATCCATCTACTTACCCATCTTTCTTTCCACCTATCTATCCATCCATCCATCAATCTATCTACCAATCTATGGTTATCCATCCATCCACCTATCCATCTTTCTTTCCACCAATCTATCTATCCATCCAACTATCTATCCACCAATCTATCTACCCATCCATCCATCTGATTATCCATCCATCCATCTACCTCTCCATCTTCTTATCTACCTATCTATCCATCCACCCATCCATCAATCTACCTATCTACCAATCTATCCCTTTATCCATCCATCCATCCACTTCCCCATCTTTCTATCCAAATATCTATCCATCCACCCATCCATCCATCTACCTCCCCATCTTCCTATCCACCTATCTATCCATCCATCTACCTCTCCATCTTCCTATCCACCCATCTTCTATCTCAATCTATCTCCATCCACCACCTCCCCATCTTTCTATCCACCTATTTATCCATCATTCATCAATCCTTCTATCCCTTTATCCATCTACCTCCCCATCTTCCTATCCATCTATCACTTTATCCATCCATCCATCTACCTCCCCATCTTCCTATCCACCTATCTATCCATCCACCCATCCATCCATCTACCTATCTATCTACCAATTTCCTCCCAAAACCCTACATTTCCTCTGCCTGCTCTTACGTACCCGTAGCCATCTGCCGCTCCATAGCCCCCATAGTCGCTGGCGGAGGCGAGAAATCCGAGCGCTGTTGAGAAATTAATAAGAGTTAATATTAATCAAAGGGAAAATTATGATGATATTATTGTATTATTAATTTTATTATAATATTGTTATAATATTAGCAATATTAATCAAAAGGAAAACTATGATGATATTATTGTATTATTAATATTATTATAATATATAATATTAGAGATTTTTAAGAGTTAATGGTTATCAAAAGGATAATTATGATAACATATTATATCATTAAATATTATTTTAATTATGTTATATATTAGCGCTGTTGAGAGATTAATAAGAGTTAATATCAATCAAAAGGAAAATAATGATGATATTATTATTATATTATTATTATTATTAATATTGTTATAATATTAGCGCTGTTGAGAGATTTTTAAGAGTTAATAGCAATCAAAAGGAAAATTATGATAATGATGGTGATGTTATGAGATGTTATTGTATTATGAGATATTGCATAATAACGGTATAAATGGTATAATGATAAGGAAGTGGATAATGATGTGATAGTGTGATGATAGTGGTGATAACAATGATAACTGGGATTAGTAGTAGTGATGATAATAATGATAATGATAATAATGGTGATAATGATAATAATAATAATAATAATCGAGCCTGATGATAAAAATAATGTTAATGGCAATAATAATAATACAGTGATGATATGATAGCTACACTATTAATTTCTAAAGCAAAAATTATAATCATAGTAAGTATGACAAAGAAAATTAGACGAATTGCTTATAGAATTTATTCCTTAATACAAAATTTGAAAAAAGTTAATGGAGAATATTTTAACAATTGATGTATTAATCTTAATTTAAAAAAATCTAGACTCAAGGATAACAGTGATAATAATTATTAAAGTGATACAAGTAATATCTTTTATACAAAATACACGAATCAGCTTATATATGCAAAGTATGTATATTTATATATACATACAAGTACACATATATGTACACACAAATACACACGCGGTTGTAAACTATTATATGCACAGACATACAGAAAGCTGCATATATTCATTCCAAACATAGCTACCACTTATACACTTATTTGTCATTCAGAATCTCCACAGAACTGCCACCCAATATAAGCACAAACCAAAACCACACCAATAACTTTTAAAAACTATTCACGAGTAACGAACCATCTGCCATCACTACACAGAATACTCCTCTTATCCAGATGTTACTCTCTTGTCTCTTATCCGAACAAAGGATCCTGCAGCAGTTCGTTAAGGTCGTTATACGCAAAATCCTTCTCGGTTGTGAGAGAAAAACGATCTATATTCTTGGTCCGAGCGAAGGTGTCTACCCACTGGCAGCTTCTTCTCACTGGCTTGTGTTGTGGTCCAGCGGCGCGTTCGGATCCGTGCGCGCGTGTGTCTGTGTGTTCGTTCGTATGTATGTGGCCCCGTGTGCGTTCGTATGTGTGTGTGGGTCGGTGTGTATGGTGTGTACGTGCGTATGTGTGTGTGTGTAATACGTGGTCGTGTAGGCCTGTGAGCATGTCTACGAAAGGGCTTGGGGCTATTGGCTATAACTGAGGAAAGGAGGGATGGGGGTGGGTGGGTGGGGGGGGTGAAGAGCTACCTTTCACGGCATTTAGAAATAGATTATTGTAGATTATTGTTATCTTTCTCACAGTTACAACTCTTAATCTTAATTCTTTTTTTTTCTTTCTCATGAAGTGAAAATAGGGATCATTAATCTCATGACTCGAGGATATAGTACCAGATATTCTCAAAACAAAAAAATGCGATTAAATTGGACTATGCGAAGGTGTACATGTCTTTTGAGAAGCCAACAGAGAGCGAGTGAAAACAGTTCTTATTCGTAACATATCGGAAAAAATGGAAGACCTTGCTGTCCACACTGTACAAAATAATGCAATTCTAATATGCATTTTTATATGAGATAGAAAAGGTATATAATGTTTAAATATTTATGGGTAAAAATGTGTCTCTCTATATGTATACCTCATTCCTTCGTTTTCTCCATTATTATTAATCCTATATCTAATTATCTTTTCTTCTTCTTACTGCGATTATATTTATCAAAGAAAAACCTTCGCTGACCATCCAAATCACAGCAACCGAACCACTCACACAGCGAACCATCTCCTGAACGCCCACGTAAAGGCGGAATTCACGAACCAGCGAACGGCAATCAGCAGCCTTAACGGTGTTCACTGGAGCGTGTTCGGTGTTAAGGAGGCCGAGAATGCGCTGGGAGGGAGGAGGACGAGGCTCCTACGCCCTGGAAACATAACTGGACGCAGGAGGTAGGATACCCTGGGCTCCTTCTGCAATGCCCGGCTGACCTAGTGCTGCAGGGGCGGTCGAGTCCTGCTGGGTCCAGTGAGGGCTGGTCAAGGGATCTTGATGTCCTCATTTTAAGTATGCTACTACGATCTTCGGGTTTAGTTGGGGTGAAGAAAGGTTTGCCAGGATCTAGTGAGGACGTAAAAAGAGTCCTCTGTAAATACAGTTCACTGTTATGAGATGCGCATACGGCCAACGAGAACATTCACACCCAAACACACTAGCCCTAAAGAGACATACACACACACCCGTAACAACTTTTTCAAAACCCAGAACAGCTCATAACAACACGTACCCCTCTTTACAACTCATAACAACAAGTACCACTCACTACAACCCATAACAGCACGTACCACTCATCACAAATAACAACACCTACCACTCATCACAACCCACGATCATGAATTACAGTAACGAGACCCGAGTCCTCGCTGACGAATCGCAGGAGCCAGCTCGCGTTCGTGTCGACGTCTGTACAAACAGCTCGAGGCTTTAACGGTAAGAGAAGCGTGGACGTAACGGGCGAGGGAGCCGAGGAGCCAAGGAGCCAAGGACCACTCGATCCTGTCGCTGCTCCGGGCGTAGGATGGGTTCCAGGGTGTGGGTGGAGGAGGGTAGGAGAGCGGGAAGGGGCGGTTGGGGAGGGGGAGGGGATGAGAGGGAAGAGAGGGGAAAGGGAAGGGAGGAAAAGAGGAAGAAGGGAGGGGAATGCGAGGGGAGGGAGGACGATAGTAAGGGGAAGGGGTGATAACATGGGGAGGGAAGAGAGGGGAAGGAAAGGGCTGTGTTAGGGGGGTCGAGAAGGGAAGGAGATGAGAGTGTCTCAGCTGGGACAGGGAGGGTGACGGAAGAGCAGGGTAGGGGCACATGTCGGGAGCTAGGAAGGAGAAGGAGAGGAGGAGGAGTAGAAGGGGGCGGTGAGGAAAGGGGAAGAGGAAGGCGAAAGGCAGGGAAGGGCTAGACTGGAGGAGAAGGAGAGGAGGAGGAAGAGGAGGAGGAGGGGAAAGCGGGGGTGGGGAGGAGGAGAAGGAGAAGGAGAAGGAGGAGGAGGAGGAGGAGGAGGAGAAGGAGGAGGAGGAGGAGAAGGAGGAGGAGAGGAGGAGGAGGAGGAGAGGAGGAGGAGGAGAAGGAGAAGGAGGAGGAGAGAAGAAGAAGAAGAAGGAGGAGAGGAGAGAGGAGAAGGAGAAGAAGAAGGGAAGAAGCGGGGGTGGGGGGGAGGGCACGTGAATGGGAAGTGGCTTCAATTATTGGAGGAGGGGGTAGGGGGAAGGAGGGAGGTTAAATAGGATTTACAGACCTTAGAGAATCCTGAAGAGATCTTATACGAACGGAAGAGGAGAAACAGCTGGATTTCTGAAAGGAAAACTCTTGGAAATAATTAAGTAAAATTAATAGCTCATTAAAGCATTTGGCGTCTCATGGTACACACTAATGAGGATAAGAACGATTAATAAAACGATTATATCACGTGATGATACTGCTAATAGGAGTGATGGTGATAACGATGGTAGCAGTAATGATGATAATAATGATGATGATGATGATGATGAAAATGGCAATGGTGATATTCACATTAGTAGTAGTTGTAGTAATTATAGTAGCAGTAGCTATGGTAGAAGTAGTAATTTTAGTAGTAGTAGTAGTAGTAGTAGTAGTAATATCAGTTGTAACAGTAATACTGATATTGATAATGATAAGGATAAACATGATTGCATCATCATTACTACTAATGATAATAACGAAAAAAGCAAAACTAAGTAGAAGCAGAGAGCGCATACCTCCGCCAAGGCAACAGAGTCACTGATGCACTGAAAATATTCCCACTTGAAAAATTACGTAAAAATCGCCTTTAAGCTTTTGAGTTATCCTGCGCAGGATTCGGATCCATAACGACAATGATAACGATGATAATAGTGATAATGATAATGATAGTATTAATGGCAATAGTGATAATGATAATGATGATAATAATGATAATGATAGTACTAATGGCAATAATGATAATAATGATAATAATAATAATCGATTATGCCAATAAGAATAGTGATAATGATAATAATGATATTAATGATAATAATGATGTGAATATTAATGATAACAACAATACTACTACTAATAATAATTTTGTTATAATGATGATAGCGAAAATGACAGAAATAGTAATAATAGTAATGATAATGGTAATAATAACGATACTGATTATGCCAGTGATGATGATGATTATGGCAATGATAATTACAATAATGACAAATGTTGATAATAACATAACCATTAGCTTTATTACCATGATTATCGTACAACAATTATTATATTATAAAATTATAAAAAATCGTACTACAAAAATTATTAATTTCTAAAACTTCCAATAATAACAATGATGTTCACGAAAAAGTGCATAAGAACAGGCTAGGATTGTGCGAATAAGAGACCGCCCACAGCGCATATTTTTTGCAACTGCTTCGGTTTGCCAAACGAAGCTGCGGTTCGAACACAGTTACGTTAATGTTCGTAATTTCGCATTTGCACTTTAGCGTCTGCACGAATGTGAAGTGGTTTCGTGATGGGAAGGTTTTCGAAGTTGTTGGAAATATGTAATAAAATTATTCAAGAAAATACAAAATAACAATGAATGTGAGGAAAAAAAATATATATATATATGTTTGTATATATATATATACATATATATATATATATATATATATATATATATATATATATATATATATATGTTTGTATATATATATATATATTATATATATATATATATATATATATATATATATATATATATATATATATATATATATATATAATATATATATATATATATATATAATATATATATATATATATATAACTTTTGGTATTATAATCGTCATTTTTTGCATTAACGTGGTCGTCAAAATTGATAAGCAATTATAGTTACGATTATACTAGCAGCGCCACACTAATGCTAACACTACTATTACTACTACTAACAGCAACAAAAATAATAATAGTAACAGAGATAAAGTCAAAATTAAGGATCATTTCATCATCAACTTAGAATTATTGTTATCATCATTACGTTTATTCTTATTTATCATTATCATTTGTATTCCATCAGGTATTATTGCAAAAATTGCTAACATTACCACTACCATGAGATTTAAAGCCTGCATAATTATTATACAAAATATAATTTACAAAAAATCTGGTTCCAAATTTAGCATGGGTGCTGTTGCAGTTACTTTAATCATATCATAAAGTATTTATGGAAAATGACCTTATGTGAGTTCATATAAAGTTTATTTACTGAAAGAAACAAGAAGAAAGCGGAGAAAATAATAATGTGTGTGTATTTTATCAATATGTAGGTACTGTATATAGGAATAAACAAAAATATTTAGTATATATGTATATATATATATATATATATATATATATATATATATAATATATATATATATATATATATATATATATATATATAATATATATATATATTTCCATGTATGTTGTAAGATTGATTTCATAATTTGCATGCGACATATCTTAGGAATTAATATATCCATAAATATGTCTTTATCTATCTCTCTGTCACACACATACACAGTATATTCATATTTATCTACAGCGTATTTGGTTAATAATAGCATTGTTGACATTGTTAGGGTTTATTTTTTGCAGCATACAGCGTTACCTTGGTATACATTAGCTTTTGGAAAAAAAAACTCTTGAAATGAATTAGAATAAACAACCTTGGAAATAATTATACATTTTCCCTTTTTACTATTTATCATTTAGGATCTTATGATATATATATATATATATATATATATATATATATATATATATATATATATATATACACATACATACATATGTATACATACATATATATACATACATACATATATATATATATATATATAATATATATATATATATATATACATATATATACATACATATATATATATATACATATATAATATATATATATATATATATATATATATATAT